GGCGCAGGGTAGCAGGAAACTCTCCGCACACTCACCGGACCTGGGCTAGGACTGGGTCTGGGGGCTCCGGGAACATGGCAGAAAATCCTGTTCTTCTTTGTTTCTTTGATATTCTGGGTCTCTTTTGGTTCCAAATGAATTTCAGGAAAGTTTTCTGTAGGTGTACTAATGTTATTTTAATCAGGATTACATTGTATCTGTATAACAGTTTTTGGGGTATGGCCATTTTCACAATGTTTGTTCTTCCTATATACTAGCATGGAATATTTTTCCATTTTCTCAAATTCTCTTCAATCTTCTCAGAGTATCATAATCTTCACTTTATATATATTTTACGTCCTTTGTGAGATTGATTTCTAAGTATTTAATTTTCTCAAATATTATTGTGAAAGGTGTGTTTTCCCTAATTTCTCTCATTGTTTGTGTACAAAATACTATTGTTTTCTCCGTGTTGACTTTGTGTCCTGCTATGTTGCTCAATTTGGTGATTAAATTTATAAGACTCTTGGTGGAGTTTTTGTAGTCTTCTGTGTAGAGTATCTTGTCATCTGCAAGTAATGATAATTTCACTTCTTCTTTTCCAATCCTTATTCCTTTTATCTCTCTTTCTTGTCTAATTGCTCTGGCTAGTGTTTCTACAACTATATTGAATAGGACTGGAGGCAATAGACATCCTTCTCTTATTCCTGATTTTAAATTGAAGGCCTTCAGTTATTGGGCTGTTCATTTCTCATAGATGGCTTTTATTAGGTTGAGATATAGAATATCTATTCTAATTCTCTGTAGGGTTTTTATCATGAATGAGTTTTAGACTTTGTCAAAAGCTTTTTATGCATCAATTGAGATGATCATGTGGTTTTTCTTCTTGGTTCTACTGATGTTATGTATTACATGTATGGATTTGTATATGTTGAATCATCCCTGTATTCCTGAAATGAATCTCACTTTTTGATGATGTATAATCTTCTTGATAATTTGCTGCATTCTGTTTGCTAGTATTTTATTGAAGATTTTTGCATTTATATTCATTAGAGAGATTGACCTGCAGTTCTCTTTTTTAGTTGGATCTTTCTCTGGTTTTGGAATGAGAGTAATACTTGCCTCCAGGAATGAGTTTGGGAGAATTATTTCCCTTTCAATTCCACTGAAGCATTTGAGAAAAGTTGGCATTAATCTCTAAATTTCCTGTAGAATTTTGCTATGAATCCATCAAGACCTGAGCTTTTATTTGTTGGTAGGTTTTTTTAAATTATATTTTCAATTTTGTTTCTCATTATTGGGTTATTCAGAGTTTGCATATCTTCTGATTCAGCTTTGGAATTTTATATGTGTCTAGGAAACTGTCCATTTTCTTTATGTTTTCCATCCTGGGAGTGTAAAGATTTTCGAAGTAGGTATTGATCGTCTGAATTTCTCTAGGGTCTGTAGTGATTTTGTCCTTCTCATACCTTATTACATACATTTAGGTTTTTCTTTCTTTTTTTTGGATTAGGTTGGCTAGAACTTATCAATCTTATTTATTCTTTCAAAAAACCAACTCTTTGATTTATGTATTCTTTGTATTGTTATCTTCATGTCTAATGCATCAATTTCTGCTCTAATCTGTATAATTTCCTGCCTTTGCGCTTTAGACTTGACTTGCTCTTCTTTTTTTAGGAGGTTGTGGTGCAGTATAAGATTGTTTATCTGGTGTGTTATCAATCAATAATAGAAATGTCACTGGGAGATTTAATTTTATACTTAAGTTTAGTCCTAGCTACTAAAGTGTATAAGCATTGACACTTTGTTCCTTAAATTAGCTCTACACAAAAATGTTGGGGCTGGGAGATAGCTTATCGGCCTAAGTGCCAGCCTAGCCAGCACAGTCTTGCGTTTGATCCCCAGTATTACAAAAAAGAAAAAAAAAGTTTTCCTTTTCCCTTAGTGGTCATTGTGCTCTCATTTTAAAAAGTTTTTTCTAAAGTGGTGCAGATGTAGGGTATGTTAGTCAAATGAGAAAGGTGTATATAAATCACAGTTCAAAAGTATGAAGTAGACTGTATATCTAATTCTAACAGCTGCCATAAAGGCTGAATTGGAAGCTTCACATCTGCATGAAATTTCCTATGTTTTTAATATATATGATGGACTTAATTTTTCTTGGATATTAAAGTCTGCCAATTGTTATGAAAGAAAAAAGATTGTTTATTTGGGCTTGTTCTGTTTTCTAATGTGCGAATTTACTGCAATAAATTTTCCTCTTAAGACGGCTTTCAGGCCAGCCAAATAGTTGAGTGGATTAAATCCCCAGGCTTGCCTTGCCAGCCGCACTCCCAGGGTGCGCTGAGAGGGCAATGGAGACTGGTTGTGGTGGCACACACCTGTATCCTGGCACTTGGGAGGCTGTAAACAGGAGAATCACTATGAGTCCGGTCTAGTAGTGAGACCCTGAACACCCTGTAGACCCTTTCCTAAAATACAAAATAAACAAACAAAAAGAAGATAAATAAGTAATTTTCCTTGTTTTGTGCTTCCTTTCTGTTCTTCTTGAAGCTGTGATCTCTTCTGTCTCTTTGTAGGATTGGTTCTGTGGTCATGAATTTCTTCAATTATTCTTTGTCATGGAAGGATCTTATTTTCCTATTGAATTTGATAGATAGATTTTTTTTTTTTTAAATTTTAGGGAAGAGTCTACAGCATGTTCAAGGTCTCACTACTAGATTGGATTCATAGTGATCTACTTGTATACAGCCTCCCAAGAGCTTGGATTACAAGCATGCACCACTATGCCCAGTCTCAATTGCCATCTCAGTGTGTCCTGGGGGCAGGGCTGAAACAGCAGGCCCAGGGATCAAATTCTTGGCCTCTGTTCCTGCTTGCAGGCACTTTAATCCACTGAACTATTTGGCCGACCTTTGATAGATAGTTTTTAAGGGTACATTAATCTGGGTTAGAAGTTATTTTCTTTCAAGACCTGAAATACTTCATTCAAACTCTTTTTGATTTGATAATTTGTGTTGAGAAATCTGCCATGATTCTGATGAGCTTTTCATTGTCAGTGATCTGTTACTTCTGTCTAGCAGCTTTTAAAATTCGGTTTTGCTGAATTTCTGAGATCTTGATTATTATGTGTCTAGGTATAGATTTATTGTGATTATGGCTGTGTGGACTCCTATGTGCATCACCTACCTCTATGTTTGGTAAGTTTTCTGCTAATACTTCTGCAAATAGTCTTTTTATGTCATTTGTGCTGTCTCCTGCTGTTTCTTTGACACCTATTATTCTTATATTATTTTTCTTTGCATCATCCTGTAGCTTCTGGATTGTTATTTCCTGGTTTATTGTTACTTTTACGAGATATTTTATTTTATGTTCATTTGCTGGAACACTGTCTTTGAGATCTGAAAGTTTATCTTCAGTTTTGTTCAAGTAGTTTTGTTAGCTTTTCATGGAGATCTTTCCTGGATATCTGTTTGAATCTCTTTTATGCATTCGGTGGTTCCATCACTTTTCTATTCTCCTTTGTTTTTCTATCTATGTCTTCTTTAATTTGCTGCAAATTTCTTTCTCGGTTGTTGTCCTTTCTTTTTGGACCTGAGAGAATATTTCTGATCTTATTTCTTCTATAGTGTGATGGACTTGTTTCTTTACTTCATTTGCTATCATTTCAGAGATTGCAGGTGTGTGATTTCTAAGTTCTTGTATGTGTTCATCTCCTGGATTTGTTCTGGGTGGGCTAGAGGATTGAGATTACCTTTTGCTCCCATGTTTTGGCATTTTGATGTTGCTTATAGTCAGCCAGATAGAGTCCCACAGGCTACCCAGCATGAGTCAAAGTTCCTAAGTGGCTCCAGGAAAGCTCTGTGCCTGCTCACACAGGGCCCACTGATTGCAGCTGTCTTGCATTCCACAGGCCACTCAGAATCCTCCTAAATTCTTAAAAGTTTGGACAGGTACCAGCAGAAGCTCCTAGCCTGTGTGCTGGGAGCTAAAGAAGGTCAGAGTTTACCAGAGTCCCACAGCCTGCCCAGAGTTCACCAAAGTCCTTAATTGGTGATAGGAAAGCTCACAGATTGTGTTCATTTTGTATCTGTGTATTCAAAGTGATTAGGATAGATATATAGTTACATTTTCTTATGAATAGAGGGATTTGTTGTAATAGTGTTTGTAAATAGGATATCATGTCCGCATCTTGTACAGCAAATAACCACTAGGAAGAGAGTGTGCAATGTGTTAATTATTGAAACTGTCCTACCAATTTAATTTGAAGCTGTTTCATTGCCGTTTGTCTCTCAATAAAATTATGGGAAAAAAAGTTGCATGAGAAATAACTTATACTCTAGCTAAAAAATTACTGACATTGTTTTAATCTTATATTTAATTTTCAGGTTCAGCAGTTTAAGCAGGATCCACGCCCAACAACATGTCTTCACTCTATTTTCAATGTGCATACTGGAGATGAGGTGCTCTCTTATGAAGAATATGGTCATCTTCAGGTAATAAAGAGAGTATTATCAATTTTTTCATCTTTCTATGCTATTTCACAGTATATTTGAGACTATGTAACTTTTTGAAGTAGATTTCATACATTGTTTAAAATGGAAAGATAAAGTGAGTCCTGTATCTCAGTGCTGGGGAAGCTGAAAAACAGGAGGATCTCTATGAGTCTGGGCTTTGTAGTCAGACTGTGTACCAAATACATAAGAAAGAAAGGAAGAGAGAGAGAGATAGAGAGAGAAAGAAAGAACGAACGAAAGAAAGAAAGAAAGAAAGAAAGAGCCCTGTAATGGATTCGAAACTGAAATAATAACCACTAGGACTTACATAATTACAGTAATTGAACAATAAATCTGAGTTCTTTTTTATAATATTTCTATCTAGAAGAAAGAAGACTACCATTCTTTTGGTAACAAAAGTATTTATTTGGTGTCAGATTTAGAAGAATTTCAACACTTAAGAATTAGGAAATAAAAGATAACAGTTGTAAAAGAGCCTATCAGCAGTTTTTGTTATGTAGCACATCATTTTAAAATATATTAACCTCTATTAAGGCTAAAGTCATGCCATTGAAATGCTAAAAGGAATTTCTGAAGCCCATAAATTTTGTCTCTTTTAAATTTTATGTCTGGGAGCTTGCTGGTTAGCTAAGTTCTTTAACGCTCCTACTTGTGCAAACTCAATCAGGCTTAGGGGACAGTGGTTTGATCCCCAAGCTCCACAGGGTGCACCCCACCAGCTCTTAAGGCAGCCTGAGCTAGCCAAAAAAAAAGAAATAAAAATAAAATGAAATCCTTCTCCAATTTAGGGCCTGCCAAATAACTCAGTGGATTAAAGTCCCTGCTTAGGTAGTCTCTTCCATCCCAGGCATGAGATGCAGGCTCCACCCTTGGGGTCCACTGAGACAGCAATTGAGGCTGGGCATGGTGGCTTGAGCCTGTAATCTCAGGTCTCTGGGAGGATGAACACAAGAGAATCACTACGAGTCGGATCTACATAGTGAGACCCTGTAGACCCTTACTAAAATTTAAAAAAAAAGTCTATGATAAGAATATACCGTGGGATTTTATGTTTTTCTGTCATTTTCCCCCTTGGATTTGTCTAGTGCTTTTAACTGACCATTCAGCAGCTTGTTCCCAGGCCAGAAATATATGTGCTATTTATCATCGATGTATTTTTTTCCCTGCATACATGATTTGGTTCTGCTGCCTTTTGGAGAGAGTACTTATTCATATATTTCTTTCTAAAATTAGAGTTTTTACCTTTTTTATTATCCCACTTTCTCTAGGAATGTGAAATGTCTTACTTTAGTATGTTTCCTCCAAATATAGAAGATATACTGCCCCCATTTCTACACAGCAGAAAATGTTGTACCTTAATGTAAATAATTTCTTAAAGAATTAGTGGTATATGAATGTATCGCTACTCAACTTTAACCTAGTAACTGTAATGTAATTAGATTTTTGTTTCTATTGTATTGAAAAATAAGTTTTTTATCTGAAATGGGGTTTTCAGAAGGTAACAGCTCATTTGTTTTTTAAATTATGATAGTTATATTCATTGACCCAAAAATGTTCACAATGGATTACTCAATTTAAAGTATAAATTATAGAATATTAATTCTATCATTATTTTAAAAATAAACATTAAAAAGTTTAGAAGGGCTTATATCAAAAAGTAATTTTGAAAAGTAGGATTAAGGCAAATTTTTTTCTTTCTTGTTACCCACATTTTCTAATTCTTTGACGAATGTGTAATACATGTATAGTTTAAACATTTTAAAATTTATTTTAATTGACAATTCTACAAATTAATGAGGTACAGTAATATATATATTAGAGAGAGAGAGAGAGAGAGAGAGAGAGAGAGAGAGAGAGAGAGAGAGAAAGAGAGAGAGAGACAGAGACAAACAAAAAGAACAAGCACGAAAGAATGAATTAGGTCAATATAATTGACATATCTCTCACCTTGTTTTCTATCACCTACAGTTTTCACCTGTAGTTATTTTATGGTGCTAATGTGCTACTGTTCAAATCAAGAACATTTGAAACTATTCTTTCTATCCAAGTGTACTCTGGTCTGGATTGACCACCCTTTCTCTACATTACTCTCTACCATATTCCAACACATCTAGGCTCTGGTAACCACTATTGTTTTCTCCACTTCTTTTAAGATCAACATTTTAGTTTCCATATATGAGTAAGGACATGTAATATTTGTCTTGCAGTGCCTGATTTATTTCACTTAATATAGGATTCTCTGGTTCCATTTTAGTATAAATTATAGAATTTCATTTTTTGTGGCTGAATAATACTGCATTGTATGTATTTTCTTTATCCATTTATCCATTGATAGAATCCTCAGGTTGATTCAGCATCTTAGCATTTGGGAATAATTCTGCAATAAACATTAGTGCAGATGTCTTTTTCATATACTGATTTCAGTTCCTTTGCTATACCCAGTGGCAGGATTAATGGAGCTTTATTTTCTAAGTCTAGTTTTTTGAAGAGTGTCTATGCTTTTTTCCCATAATAACCATATTACGTTATGTTCCTGACAGTAGTGTATAGAGTTCCTGTATCTCCACATTCCTCTTAACATTTGCTTTTTCTTTACTTGATGTTAGCCATTCTAACTTACATGAGATGATTTGTTATTATGGTTTTTATTTGATTTGTGTTTCCCTGATGGTTAGTGATGTTGAGCTTTTTTTGGTAATGTTTGTTGTCCATATTTGTATGTTTTCTTTTGTGTGTCTAGATCATTCATCCATTTTTAAATTGGCTTATTTGTTTTGTGATACTATGTTGCTTGAGTTCTTTATATATTTTGGAAATTAAATTCATGTTTTTCAGTATTTTCTCCCATTCCGTGAGTTTTCTCTTCTTGCTATTGGCTCTTTTGCTGTACAGATGTGTTTTAGTTTTATATAATGTCGTTTGTCAGTTTTTGCATTTGGGGCTTATGCTGTTAAGGTCATATCCAACAACTCTTTGCCTAGATCAATATTCTGAAATATTTTCTCATATTTTCTTTGAGTAGTTTTTAATGTTTGATCTTTTATTCTCTACATTTGATCTACTTTGATTTAGTATATGATGAGATAATATGGGTCTAATTTTTCTTTGCATATGAATATCCACTTTTGCAAGAACCATTTATTGAAGAAAATTGGTTTTCTTTTTCAAAAATATTTCCTTTATAAGGCCCATATTTTGTAATATACAGTGATTGTATTCACTGTGGGGGGTTGCTACATATACATTATAATTCTTTTTACATTCCCCTTTTTGTCTTACCTTCTCTCTTGCTCCATTTCTTGGTTCCCTTTTTATTTACAAAAAAAAAAAAAAAGAATTTCCTCTTTTGTATCTTTATTTATCTCTTTAATTTATTTAAAATTTGCATTTCTCATGTAAGAAACAATGTGATATTTAAGCTTATTTCATTTCACTAACATTATCTCAAGGTGTACCTGCTTTCTATATTTTCTTTAAAGCTTGTTTTTATTTTGTTTTAGTTTTTAGTCAGATTTTATTGATATATTTTAGACAAACATAATAATTACATTCATCATAGAGAATCTCTACCTGTACAGAATATAACTTTTTTCCCATTAGCCTCCCATCCCTTTAACCGTTTTATCCCTCCACATTTACAAAAGCATTATTTTCATGTTTTATTTCTTTTTCTCTCTCTTTTTTACTTTTCCCTCCCCACTCCTTTGTTTTCTTCCTTCTTTGAAAATGTTCTTACTACTTCACAATTCTGTTAAATATTTTAGTCCTTGTACTTTCAGTATCTTACACTACAGAAACAATGTACTATTTAATCATGCATGTCCAATTTGTATCACTTAAGAGTATGGTCTCAAGGTCTATATATTTTCCTAAAAATGTCTCAAAGGTATCCTGCTTTATGGCAGAGTAATACTCCATTATATGAAAAAAAATCATTATCCATTCACCAATTGATGGGCACTTAGGTTGTTTCCAAGAGGTGACTATTACTAAGTGTCCTGCTATAAATGCACATATGCATATATTGCTGTGGTGCAATATTTTTAATTCTTTTAAAAAGATACCCCAGTAGGAAAATGACTGCGTCAAATTGAATATCTAGTCCATTTTTTGAGGAATCTCCACATTGATTACCACAAGAGTCACACCAATCTACACTCCCGCCAAGAGTGGAGAAGGGTTCCTTTTTTTCCACAGCCCCACGAGCATTTGTTACTATTTGATTTCATGATGAGAGAGAGAGAGAGAGAGAGCCATTCTTTCTGAATTTAGATGAAGTTTTAGCATTGTTTTAATTTGCATTTCTTTGGAGACCAGTGACGTTAAACAACTTAAAATATTTATTATTTGTATTTCTTCATCTGTGAAGTTTGCATTCATCTCAGATGCTCTTTTCAGACTGAGTCTTTACATTTGGAAGGCTTTTTTATTGTTTTATTTTTAATTTTTTTTAGTTCTTTATATGTTCTGTATAGTAATCTTTTGTCTCAGGAACACCTTGCGAACAATTCTTGCCACCCTGTGCTTTTCTCTTCATTCTATTAGTTGTTTCTGTTTCTGGGCAAAACCTTTCTAGTAAGATGAGATCCCAGTTGTTGATTCTTTCTGATAGTTCCTATACAATTGGAGTTTTGTTCATAAGCTCTTTTCCTACAGCAATGTTTTCAAGATTTGTACATACTCTACCTTCTAGTAGATTTAATGTTTCTGTTTTAATATTTAGCTCTTTGATCCATTTCAACTTTAGAGCATGGTGAAAGATATGGGTCTAAATTTGTGGGTCCATGTTTAAAGCCAGGTTTTCCAGCACTATTCATTAAGGAGGCCATCTTATTTCCAATGAATGTGTTTGGCACCTTTGTCAAAGATAAGGTGGGTAAGTATCTTTAGAGTTGTTGTTTCTGCATCTTCTAATCTGTTCCATTTATCCTTGGATCTCCTTTTTTTTTTTTTTTTTTGCCAATACTATGCTGATTTTA